GGATGTGAAAAAATGTAAGTAATATTAAGTGTTAACATAACGTGTTATGTGACAATAATTAAGAAACACTTCAAAACCATTTACCATTGATTTCTCTCATCTCCTCCATCTTTTTTTTTTTTATATCAAATTTCTCTCGAAACCTTCATCCATAATTTCTCAACTTCGAAACAGCACCCTCTCTGAAAGAGGAGAATACATAGTAAGGTGCACGGTTTGAGTGGCGAAGCGCGCAGCCACGTCCACATCGACCGACGACAAAAAGTATTCAAGGTGAGCCAGAGAGACGTATGAATGGGCGTATGCATGAATGGCTGGCTGTACGCATCGACGAGCTGAGACCAGCCAGTGCGTGCACACGCATCCTTATTCCCCTTTTGTGCGTGTAGGCACACGAATACGTACTTACCTGGCCTTCCAAGCCGCGTGATGGTGTATCGTGTGTGATGTGCATGGATCCTTGGCCAGTGCATCAATGAAACATATCGGGAAAGGTTTAATTAAATTTCTTTCGGGGATTACTTTTGACAATTGTCATGCACGCGTATTATAATCATTGTAAAACGTGTTAAAGTCTCGTTTTGCGATATAAATGGATCCGTAATTGGTACGTTGTTGCGCGAGTTTTTCATACGTCAACGTGACGTTTGCGAGAAATAAGATTTTTCGACAGTCATTGCACAAGTACATAACGTACAACGTTAATTTCCTTCTCGTTGTCATGTCGGAAGACAAATGAAAAGTTGTTCCAAAGAATTATATGCTTGATCAGTGTGAAACGAAACGTTTCGATTTTTCATTATTTTTTTATTCAGATCCTGGCTTGAATTGCGTGTGAATCTTATTCTTTAAGAGTAATTTTATTAGTCGGATGAATTGTTGCAAAAATCGTAATCGTAATCATAGATTCGATATATCCTGAAAAAATCAACAAGGACGATAACGTTAATATAAGTAACAATTACTTTTTATTATTACAGACTATAAGAACTGATCTCTTTACAATCGGCAATACGTACAAAATGGTTTAACGTGTCGCTGCACAGGATAATAACGATTACAGATTATAGGACGGTTCCTGTTGCACATTTCCTCCGTTCTACCGTTAATCGTCGCCATTTTGAGCGCAATTTCTCCAACAATGGAGACTCGTCGGCGCGTGCGCGTCTCTAAAACGTGAACCACTTACGGAATTCTCGAATAAAGGACGATTCGGAAGCGAAAAATCGAAGGAGAGCGCCACAAGCCTCAGGTACGGATCGTTTCCCAATTCTAACGTTTCTTAAGTTCATCGAATATCACCTAGCCAAAGCCACAATAGTCGCAGTTTCAATTTTATTTCCACCAACAGTCCACACATTTCTCTCCATTCCTTGCATTCCGATGTACGCCACGCGCCGACACAAATTGTGTAAAATTATGTACATACATAAATAAATCGCTGTGCGTATAATAATAATAATAATAATAATAATAATAATAAAAAAGAAAAAACACGGCTTTTGATTTAACAAAGAGTATAAATAAGACTAGATTTCGTTAGGCGTTATTAAATAAGATTACGATTAAAAAATAATCATGATAATCGTATAATTACACGGGACTTTCCCGTTTCTATTTATTCCTCTCTCTCTCTCTC